TTGGGGCCTGTTCCTGTGATGTGGGCACCTGCTCTTATCTCCTTATATCGCCTGTAGACCTCACAATTCCTGGTCTCTATTTTAGTCTCCAAACTGTATCTCACTTACCCTCTCCCTCTCTACTTCCCAATAAGGAACCTTTCTCTAGAGGTTTTAAGGGGTGTGCTCTGGGAGCTGTACACCTATTGTGCATAGCTGTTTTATATTGGGCAGCTCAGGACTCAATTTTGCTACCCAGGTTTGTGACGTGGTTTTGTGAGCTACAGACAGGCCCTGTAGCCAAAGGCACTGTGCCAGGTTAGTGGCTGCCAGGGAGAGGTGGGAGTTGGGGACTTTCCGTACTTTGATAATAACACCCTGCTGGTGTTCCAAGCTGGGAGTTGTCCAACTAATGATGGTGAGGAAGGTGTCCCAAGATGGAGGTGGCTGCTTTAAGCAATGGGGTATAGGGGGTCACGTAGGGCTAGGCGGGCGGTGACGTTGAGCAGCGTGTACAGAGAAGCAGCTCTGTGGCGTTCAGTATTGTGGCTGGCAGCTGTCTCTGTACCCAGTGCAGTGACCCCAGTTGCAGGTAGCCACAAGTAGGAGACTGTGCAGTAATTGCAGTGTCCCAAGTTGGAGGGGACCAGAAGAGTCCCACATGGGGATCACGTGGGAATGGCGGCCGGGTGTCCTGCGTGGGATCAGTGACTGGGATTCCTGTGGGGGTGGGCATCCAGGAGTCCTGTGTGGGTGCTAATGCCGGGTGGTCCTACTTGGGCACCTGGAGGACCTGTGTAGACGTGTGGCCTGGAGTCTTGTGCTGATGCTGAGGCCTAGAGACCTGTGCAGCATGGTGGTGGCAGTGTTTCCTGCACAGGAGCAGCTGTCGGGGTCCTCTAATCACTCAAAGAGAAACATTATTCCCACTGCTTGAATTCCAAGTCCATGAGTGACACAGAATGCAGCCTCCCTCTAGCCTGCCATTTTACATCCTTCAAAAGGAGTCCTTTAGCAAAAGGTAACCACAGATCTTAATATGACTGAGGAACAATCTTTAGCCATACCATTCTGAATGTACCTGATCTCATCTGACTGAAGAAAAACAGGTAACAATCTTACAAGAAAGAAAAAATAGTGTCAAGCTGGTGGTGCAGGCCTGTAATCCCAGCGGCTCAGGAGGCTGAGGCAGGAGGTTCGTGAGTTCAAAGCCACCCTTGGCAACTTAGTGAGGCATTAAGCAACTCAGTGAGACCCTAAATACAACACAAAATAAGGGTTGGGGATGTGGCTCAGTGGTTAAGTGCCCCTGAGTTTAATTCTCATGCCCCCCACCCCCAAAAAAAGTTGGGGAAAAATAATAGATTGCTGCACTAAGAGACAGAATTTCTTGGGCTTCCTGTACTCCTATATATCTTTGTAGGTCTGCCAAGAATAGTCTTTATTTGGGCCACTTTTCAGAGAAAAGAAACCTTTAGGAAGGAGGGAATGTTTTCCTCTAGGACTTAAAGAAGATTAAGCCAATTTTCTTACTAGCCATAAAAGTGTTGGATCACCTAAACTCACTGTTTTTTCTCTCAGGACCCTCTATATTGCCCCTGTGGGCAATATGGAGCTAAGGAAGACCAACACACTACACAAATAATCTAGTGGTCAGGCTTCTTGCTGTGCCATGAGTGGTATAAACCTTCTGTTTTTGACCTAGGAATTTTATGTCTTCTGTAAGAAATTGACCTATTAAGTCCCAAGTTTTCAGTTCTGTGAATATTTCAATGAAATTGACATAGGTGCATTAAAATAGGTTAGAAATCCTAATCTAGAACTTATGTATCCTTGATTATTGTTAAGATAAAAAATGTGGATTGTCCTATAAATAGGACACTGGAACAATATATATAAACTATCCTATAATAGGACATTGGGCAAATATGATATCCTTTCATACATTGCATAATATACAAAGAAGTGACTTTAATGATTATTCAATAATTAATTTTGGTGGAAATGAGCAAAAAACTTCAAACAAAAGGTTACATTTTTGATAAGTTGTTGCCAGTTTTACATGACATGACTTGTTTTGACATCATTCTTGCTCTTGCTATTTCAGAATATCATAGCTTCTCATGTCAAATCAGATGTCATCTTAGCAGTAGTACGTCTAGGAGTATTAACTTTTCTTTCTACTGATGATTTTCATTGCATCATTCCAGGTATGCCAAGCAGGTATCATTTTTGAAATCCAACAAATTTATGAGATATTTCTTATCTTTGTTCAAAAATTTGTGAATAATCCATGCATTTATGACACACATGTTAATTATTCAAGTGAAAATATGCCAGTACCATCTCTTACTTTTATAGAGATGGAATATTTGGAACCCAGCCATCATGTTGATCCACACCACTATTGATATACATTGTGGTTGAAACACATTGACTCTGCTCTTTAATTTTTTCCATTGTTGAACTTTGCCAAGTGGTTCCTTAGTATGGTAGTTTGTTCTAACAATGATATATTTATTATTCAGCCACTTTACAGGAAAATGTCATTATTTTTGCTGAATCTGTTATTAGATGACCCTCTTGCTTGTATTTTCATTACTGTTGTCAGTTTCAGAGGACATTTGTTTAGTCTGTTTTCCCTCATGGTGCCTGTGGCCTGGGATTCAATTCCTAAAGTTTTATCAACAAATTATAGCCAGTGAATAGACTGTTGAAGATCACAGTTTGATTGTAGATTATTTATTACTTAAAGCATTTATAAAACTACCTTATTCCCAATGCAAAAGGTCATCATGGCACAGTCCTTCTTAAGTACTTTTTCCACAATACAAATCAAAGTTATAGCAATATCCCAATACTCTGCACAGTGCCTGGAATTGATAACCAAATCTTATGGGCTTACCTCATAAACTGTTTTAGCAAATTATGTCTATAATATCTAATAATCATTGCTTCTTCTGTCAAATGTTCTTCAAAGATATCAAGTTTCATGAATGACTTTTGAATCATATTTATTAGAGGATCAATTTTAAAATATTTTCTTGTCCTTCATACTGCAAAAAATATATGTTAGCAAATTATTTCTTGACATTTCATTTTTAATGATAGATATATCCAAATCTTCAACATCGACCAATAGTTTTATGTGGAGGGTAATTTATACTATCCTGAAAACATAACAATTCCTAAAAATGTTTTAACTTATTACATTAAGTACTTCAAATTAATTCTTATACTTTACAGAAGCGCATACAGTTTCTTTAACAATATAATTGTATATTTGGGACTTCAATATTTCTTCAGAAATCTCCACCAAGCTTAATACTCCAAGAATTTTTCTCACTGAGAATTCATAATAAGTGTTTTCTCTAAATATTATTTAAAGTTTTTGGATGCTATTGATTGCCAAACAGGTACTGACTTGTATAATTTTCACTTTTTACCTAGTGATATCTGCCAATTTTCTTTTTTCCCTGAGGACAGATAGAAGAATCAATAGCAGTAACATGAACATCTTCACTATCATCATACCTTCTATTTTGGCAGCTAGGTCAGATATTTCAATATATAACTCAAGAGGACATGGAATATCTTTCACTGTTGGTTCACCAGTTTCACTATCCCATCAGCTTCATTGTTGTCAGTTAAATTATTTACATCTGATAGAATTATTACTGTATCAGATGCTTCAATATTCTCATCTTCAGAATATTTATTCAGCAGTTCCTCAGTTTCTTCTAGTGTTAGCACTTGAACACATTCTCACTTGTCAACACATTGTAGACAAGTCACAAGTAACAAGTTAGAGTTTTCCAGGCATCAGTACACTACACTACAAATGACTATGCCCTATACATGGTCCCAGTGTCCTAATTATAGGACAAGTCTTTTCAAACATTGATAATTTGAAATACAGTGCATTTCTTAAAATAAAATGACAGCCTAGTTCTAGAAAATATTTTCATGATGAATTATTGTATTACATATCAGTTACATACATGATACTTTGTTCAGTTGAATATTTAGCAAAAGGAATTTGTGCAGTAAAGTTTGTGCCATTATAAGTATAAAATATTTTCAAACACTCTAATCATCACTTATTTACTTTTCTCAAAAGAATAGAACTCAGAGATACCATAAATGGCATATTTATATATAGACAATGGGACTGAATGTGTTAATTTATTAGTATATATGTAGGATAAAATCAAATCACAAATCTGAAAATTGTGCAAGACAATTAAGCAATTAAGAACTTTAGGCCTCTTAAAAGGAATTTGTTCAAGGGGTTTCTGAAGTAGGCTATTAGGGAACAAAGGTAGGAGGAAACAGAGGGTACAGTATCAGGATATTGAACAGTGATTAAGTGTTTGAGAGGTGTTTAATGTCACAAGTGGGTATGCACATAAATACATCATGGAGACAGTATTCCAAATTGGGTTGGAAAAAAAATTAACAATGTTCCTTTCCTACTACCTCTGTTAACTTCACCATTAGATGAATATTAAATTGTTTCAAGCATAATAAAAGTGACACATCACCTCTCCATAATCTTTGCATGTGGCTCAGACAATCACATGACATGTTTTACTGTCAGTGTGGATGAAGCTTGTTGCGTTTGGGAGACAGAAGTGACATTCGGTACTTTTTAAATCTTTCCTCCCCGTTTCAATATATCTTCAGACCAAAGTTTGTTAATAGTAATTTTTCATTTCACTGAAGTATGTAAAATTCTGTTGTAAAGTATGTTTAAGTGAAAGAAAAATTAGTTAAACCAGGGTGTGGACAGCTGCTGGTGAGAGAGACACTTCCAAGGAAAGAATTGCAGCGATACCATGTTTGTTATTGCCCCTATCCTGCTGCTTTTTCATCCCTTGATTTGTTGGCAGACTCTGAACATAATGAACTCAGAATACGAATGCTACAGCCACACAAATTGGAGCTTTTCAAAAAGGTGAGCCACAAAATAATTCTATTCTACATTGATGTCATTAAATTCTAGAGTCTGCTGTCATCACATTCTGTGTTGTTGCCATGTTAGTTTCACATGCAGCTTAAGGATTCATCTTCTGACTTTTTCCACCTACACAAGGCATTTTATGGCTTAAGGATGATGATCTAGAAAGGAAGGGAAGACAGTTTGGATTAAAGTTAACATGGGAAAATGCTTAAGGTAAGCCCTTAAAAACAAAACAAAATAAAACCAAACATAACACTTCATGTGTTTCATGCTTCGTGTGCTAAAGAACATTGAAAATATTCATAAGACAAGCGTTAGTGCTTGCTTTAGTTTCCCACAATAACAGGAGTGTCTCTATATTTAGTTGGAACATCCTCTACAGAGAGGTTCTGCTTCTCCCACAGTTAATATTTTTAATACAAATCAGTAAACAGGATATAAGAATATATTACTTCTTTAAATATGCTAGTTTAATAGTCTTGAACAGATGTTGTAATTTATTATTTTTAAAAACATAAGTTCTATTTTTCTTCCTGGGGATCCTTTAGTCCTGGGGGCCTTTCATGGATCTCCTTTATCTTTCTTTCCACCTTCTCTGAGTCTTTCAATTTCCTTCCCCAAGCTTTAGGAGAAGTGGGCAGGTACTTACAGAGGTGGTCTTCTATCTACACATGCCTTCTTTGGGGTACATCTGTATGACCACCAACTTCAGCTACCTTATTTTTCTTATTCCCTATTGTTTCCCTATTGGGTAAGGTGGATATTATTCCTCAGGAGGCTTGGCAGGTCTCCACTTTGCTCCCTATTTTTTTTCCTCATTTGACCCTTTTTTCACTCTAGCTGCTGCAAAGAGGACCAGAACTTCCAACCAAATTGTACTGAAGATCAAGTTACTTCACACCCCCAGCATCATGAAGCCTCTTCTATTTTACGACAACATAAATTTCTTAATCTTAAAACATATCGTCCTTCTGCAACATATGAAGTCAGTTCAGCCACAGGAAGTAGAAAATTATCTCATCCATCAGATACATCTACTCATTCAATTCTCTATGCAAGAAGACAATCTTTATCTGATAGACTTAGAAAAAGCAATCTTTCCCTTTATCAGAGACAAAGTAGAGCTAACTTTGATTCTCAAGAAGATGAAGATGATTCAAAATCTTCAGGCCATTTTGGTGCCTTTAGATACCGAAGACGTCTTTCTTCCCCTAAACTCAGTATAGTTTCCTATTATAATTCTAACATGTTTTTTGATCCTCAACCAAGAAGTCGGGAGAAGTTTAACTCAAATGAAATTAAAATATTTTCTAGAAGACAAAGTCATCCTGGTACAGAAAAACATATAAGCTTCTCTAAGCCTGAATATAGCTTTTTCAATTTAGAAGCAAAAACTATTTCTTCACCCCATGGTAACACTGCTGACAGAGCCTCCCTTCAACAAGACATGGCATCTTTCTTTTCTCTTCCAACTATTAATTCCTCTGCCTCTATAGCAAATAAATTTGCCATTGCTATTGAAGAAAGTGACCATTTAAGTAAAGAGTCAAAAGACTCCCCTCATTTCAAGTCTCACAGTCACAGTACCAGTCATTCTCCAAGTATGACTCAACAGAGTCTTTCTCAAACTTCCCCTATCTTCCATAAAGTTGGATATTCTTCATCTTATAAAAATTCCAATAGCTTTGCCCTATCTCAAAGTGAAGTTACTTCAGGCCCCTTTGAAGAGGAAAACATTTCTGTCTCCTCCCAAGATGAAGACAAACCTTCGCCTATTGAAATTCCTAAGATAAGGTCATCTCAGATTTTATTCTGTCTTAGAAGGGCAGCTTAAATCAGATTTCACACCAGTTACACACCAGAGTCTGTAGAAATCAGTGGTTGCTTTTTTTAGAAGTTTCCTCTCCCCACTAAGCTTCACTGCATTTTCCGAAAAAGATTCCTACAGTGTAGTCTAATACAGTAATTTTGAAAGTTAGTTTATTGACATTATTGGAATATAGAAGTAAAAAATGACTGTCTCAGAATTTTTTAAGATTATTCCTTAAAGGTTGACTAGTCCCAAATTTCTAAGGGATACATTTGTGGTGTGAAAATAACAACAAACTTATAGGTTGTATAAATGAGTACATTTCAGTGCCTTCTTTTTTCCTACTCTAATCATTAAACATAATATTCTTACATAACTTTTAGAGCTATGTTGATCAATTCACACAATTAAATTTTTATCAGGCTTGCTAGCTATACATCTCATGTCATACTGATAATGTTTTTATTAACTCAAGAATTAAATTATAGACAATCATGGTAGCACATGCCTGTAATCCCATTAGCTTGGGAGGCTGGGGCAAGAGGATGGCAACTTTGAGACCAGCTTTAGCAAGTTAGAGAGGCAATAAGCAATTTAGGGAGATCCTGTCTTAAATTTTTTTAAAAAATAAAAAGGGCTTGGGAATAGCTCAGTATTAAAGTGCCTCTGGGTTCAATTCTCAGGACAGCCACCCCCACTGTTAAATAATCAAGTTATAAGTAAACAATATTTAATGCAAATATGTAGAATATTTAGAAACAAGATATTTTAAGTAAATTTTAAATATACATTTTAATATGCCTTCATATACACACAAATCTGAAGGTTCAAAGAACTCTGAAATCAGAGATAAGAAGTATGTATGTCAGTATCCCAAAATGGTATTTTTAAAAGTATTTTACAGATTTCTTTCATTAAACAAAAATTATATTATCAAAATAACTAAGTGAAAAATGAATATAAGCAATTAAAGATATTGAAGTTAGAATATAGTTAAGGCTTTTTAAGAGGAAAGGAATTTGCATGATTCTCAATGATTTATCATAATAAATGCTTTCCAAATCTATATCCTTAGGCTAAGATGTTGTTTTTATATTTATGGTTTTCTCTTCCCCTTAGTATATATTCTTTTAAAATATTTTTTTTCAATTTTAAATTTTTTTAGTTGTGATGACATACATATCACAAAATTTATCATTGTTACCATGTTTAAATGTACAGGTCAGTGTCATAAATACATTTACTTTGTAGTACAACCTGCACCATCATTAATCTCTACAATTCTTTTCATTCTGCAAAAATGAAACTGCACTCAGTAAACAATAACTCTCTCCATTCTTCTCTCCCCCAGTTCTTGTCAATAGTCATTCTACTTTCTAAGATTCTGATTAGTTCATAGTGTCTCATATAAGTAGAATTGTATAGTATTATAGAGACTGCTTTGCTTCACTTAGCATAGTATCCTCAAGGTTTATCCATGTTGTAGCATATGTCAATGTTCTTTTTCAAGGTTGAATAATTTTCTATTGGGTGTGTGTACCACATTTTGCTTATTCATTCATCTATCAATGGACAATCTGAGTTGCTTTTATGTTTGAACAGTTGTGAATAATACTGCTGTGAATATAATTGTGGTAATACCTCTTTGAGACCTTACTTTTAATTCTTTTGAGTCTATACCCAGAAGTGAAATTGCTGGATCATCAAGTAATTCTATTTTTAATTTTGGGGGAACACATTGTTTTTCATTGTTGCTGCACTATTTTATATTCCCACCCAGAGTGCACAAGACTCCAATTTCTCCTCTACTTTGCAAAAAATTGTTTTGTTTTATTATAGTGGCCATCCTAATGGGTTTAATATGGTATCTAATTTTGGTTTTGATTTATATATCCCTAGCAATTAGTGGTGCTGAGCCTCTTTTGATCTGATCACTGGACTTTGTAGGTCTTCTTTGGAGAAATATCTGTTCAAGTCCTTTGCCCATTTTTTAAATCAGGTTCTTTGCTCAGTTTTTGTTGTTGAATTTTTTGAGTTCTTTGTATATTCTGGATTTTTGGCCCCTAACTACAGATATATATGACTTTCACATATTTTCTACCAATGTGTGGATTGCCCTTTTACTTTGTTGATCGTGTTCCTTGATGCACACAAGTTTTATATTTTGATGTAGTTCAGTTTATCCATTTTTTTCTTATATTGTCTGTTCATTTGTTCTTGTATCCAAGAAATCATTGCCAAATCCAATGCCATGAAGTTTTTTTTCTGTTTTCTTCTAAGAGTTGTATAGTTTTGGCCTTTGAAACTAGGTCTTTGATATATTTTGAGTTGATTTGAGGGACTGATGTTAAGTAAAAATCCAGCTTCATTTTTTTTTGGCATGTAGATATAATTTTCCCAACACTCTTTATTAAATGTACTGTCTTTTCTCCATTAATAGATCTTGGCATCCTTGTCAAAAATCAGTTGGACAAATATGTGTGGGTTTACTTCTGGGATCTATATTATAATCCATTGGTCTACATTTTTGTTTTTATGGCCGTACCAAATTGCTTTAATTTTGCTGTAGCTTTGTTGTAAGTTTTGAAAAGAAGAAATGTGAGATCTTCAACGTTGTTCTTCTTTTTCAAAGATTGTTTTGACTACTGAGGATCCCTTGAGATGCCAAATGAATTTCAGAATAGATTTTTCTATCTCTATCAAAAAATTATTGGTATTCTGAGAGGGATTGCATTGAATATGTAGATCACTTTGGGTAGTATTGACATGTAAATAATATTAAATCTTCAAGTCATAACATGGTGTATCTTTCCATTTCTGTCTTCTTTAGCATTCTTCCAGCAATGTTTTATTGTTTTCAGCATACAAGTCTTTCCTTAATTAAATTTATTTTATGCTTTATAAATTAGATTATTTTTAGAATTCTTTTTATATAACTTATTGTTAGTGTATAGAAATACAACTGAATATTTTATATTGATTTTATATCCTGAAACTTTGCTGAATTTATTATTTTTAAAAAGTTTTATTGTGTATGTGGAATTTTTAGGGTTATTTTTTCCCCTACATGCAAAATCATGTTGTCTGCGAAAGGAAGATTATTTTGCTTCTTTTCTTCATCTTACCTAATTGCTCTGACTCAGACTTCAAGAACTATGTTGAATGAAAATGCAGGTACCCTTGCCTTGCACCTGTTTCTAAAGGAAATGTTCTCAGTATTTCTCCATTAATTATGATATTATCTGTGGGCTTTTCATATGTAGTCTTTACTATGATAAAGTTGCTTTTATTTTTAACTTGTTTAAAATTTTTATCATGAAAGGGTGATGAGTTTTGTTAAATGCTTTTTCTGATTTAAGGGAGATGATAATGTGGCTTTTCCCCCATCATTTTGTTAATATGATATATTATTTTGGTTTGATTTTAGTATTTTGAACTATCCTGGCATCCCACGAATAAATCCTACTTGGTCATGGTGTTTACTCATTCTAATGTATGTTCTGTTTGCTAGCATTTGAGGACTTTTTGCATCAATATTCATCAGGGATAATTCATCAGGGATAATCATCAGGGATATCTCTGATATATATCTCTAGCTCTTTCTATCCTTTTACCTTCAACCTACATGTGTCCTTAAAGTGAAATTCTCTTATAGACAGCATATAGTTGGATCCTTATTTTTTTTAATCCATTCTGTCAATATATGACTTTGGTTGAGAAAGTTAATCCATTAATATTTGAAGTAGTTAATGATAGGAAAGGACTTACTATTGCCATTTTGTTATTTGATTTCTGTATGTCTTATGCATATTTTTGTCCCTTACTTCCTCTACTACAGCCTTCCTTTGTGTTGATTTTTTGTAATGATGTGTTTTGATTTCCTTTTGCATATGTTCTTTATGTATTTTGTTTGTGGTTGTCATGGAGACTACATACAACGAAAGTTATAACAATGAACTTTAAACTGGTATCAATTTCAATTGCATACTAATATTCTACTCCTTCACAGTTCTACCCTTTCCCATTTGTGTTGCTGATGTCACAAATTACATCTTTTTTGTTTTGTAACCATTAATATAGATTCACAATTATTTTAACACTTTTATCTTTAAGTCCTAAAAAATAACAAAAAGTGGAGTTTCAACCCAAAATTATAATAATTCTGGTTTTTGTATTTGTTCAATTACTTACCTTTACAGGAAAACGTTACATTTTTATATGGCTTTAAATTACTAAGATCAACTCAAAGAACTCCCTTTAATACTGCTTATAGAGTAGGTGCAGTGGTAAATAACTTACTTATCTTTGTTTTTCTGAGAGTAGGTTGATTTCTACCTCATTTTTGAAAGACAATTTGGAGTTGTTATAGGATCTCAGTTAACTTTTTTTTTTCCTTTCAGTACTAAAAATATATTATTCCATTACCTTCTGGCCTGCAAATTTTCTTTTTTTTTTATTGGTTGTTCACAACATTACAAAGCTCTTGACATATTTCATACATTAGATTGAAGTGGGTTATGAACTCCCAATTTTACCCAAATGCAGCTTGCAGAATCACATCAGTTACATATCCACAATTTTACATAATGCCCTATTAGTAATTGTTGTATTCTGCTACCTTTCCTATCCCCTACTATCCCCCCTCCCCTTCCCTCACATCTTTTCTCTCTACCCCATCTACTGTAATTCATTTCTCTCCTTGTTTATTTTCCCAAATTTTCTGCTGAGCAATTCACTAATAATCTTATTGAGGATCCCTTACATGTGATAAGTTTCTTTGGCTACTTTTGAAATTCTCTTATGTTTTTTTCTTTCAATAGTCTGAGTATGGTATGTCTTGGTGTGGATATCTTTGAGTTTATACTACTTGGAGTTTCCATCAAGTGTCTCGTATTTGTATTTCCTTGTCTACCCTCAAATTTGTTTGTTTTTGTTGTTGTTGTTGTTGCTTATTTTGTTTTGTTTTGCTTTTATTTTTTCAAAT